CATCAAATCAAATGAGTTTCAACATGACATTGCCACACTTCCGCCAGTGTTCTGTAGTTGCATCCCCATGCGACTTGGCTTGTTCTCAAAGGCGTTGGCATCAATGCATCTGCCAACTCAAGCTTCACACGAAGGCCCGGCATGGCCTCCTACAAAACCCCTTGCCCTGATCAGCTGCAACCAGCTCTCATGCTGTAATATGTTACCGTGGGTTTGGCGCGCAGCAACGTCAATACATACGGGCTGAATGTCACTCTTCCAATGGAAACGGCTAGCGATATCACCCATGCGTCATGTCCTGAAAACAAGACAAGGAAGAACTTTTGTCCCTGCGACGTAGGAGGTGGCACATAATTAATCAAAATTCGGCACCTATTTATTTCTTCGCTTCTAAACGCAAAGCTTTTTCAAGATTGGCTGTGTCGTGGTAGACATTTGCCATCTTGAGATCGACTGGCTTGCGTACTGTTAGACTGCGCCCTCCTTTTCCAGGTGGTAATAGCCCCCAATGCCGCCAACCGCAAAGCTCTGCTTCAGAAGGCTGTGTCTCTGTTTCAATCTCCACATCTGTATTGTACACTAATGCTGGTTGTAGTTCACTTTTGCTGGCCCAGCACCAAGCCTTGTCCACACTCTGGTTCTGAAGACCTTGCTGATGGCAAGCATGACCATGCATGATGCTTTTTCATCCTGCGCACTAGCCTCTTCCTCAGTCATAGGCGCAAAGACTCGCATGTGATAAACCCAGAAATCTGTGACCGTCCCCCTGTGAAGGTGCCGCAGGAGCCGTGGTCGTGTATGGAACTGCTTTCGGCAACATCGGCAAACCTCATCTCGAACGAATCTTCTCAGGGCTATGCGCATGCCGTGTAATCTCTGCCGGTGCACAGCCAATGATGCTGTCACACTGTTCACATTGGTGATCCAACACTGCGTCTTCCTCTTGTTCTTTTTCAAGAACCCATCCCATCTCTGCCATGAAATCATTCTGCTCCTTGGCTTGTGTTTTGACCGCGCAAAACACTTTGATTTGAATCAAGTGGAACTTCTCTGCTTTTTTCAGCATCTTTTTGAGCTCACCAATGGCATCTCTGAAATGATGCCAACATTCCCACTCATGAAACTCTAGCATCTCATCAGGAATGCATTCTCGCCCCACCTGAGATTGCCACCGTTTAACAGCCTTGACCAATCCATATAGCCACGACCCTTTTCGGGCGACATGATGGTTGTGCAAAATTCCAGCTATCAAACATTCATGAAGTTTTTGTAAGATATGCAGGAAAAGTCTGATACGTTGGAGATAGAGCAACTCCATGGGCATAGCTGCATTTGCTTCCATAGCTGCATTTGCATTTGCTTCATTTGCTTCATTTGCTTCCTTTTTTTGAAGAGTTTGATGGGTTCCGACCACCGCTGCATGCCATGCTTTGTACTCTCCAATGGTCAAATCAAAACATGTACTTGCATGCAATAAGACCACTGACATGCCCATACTGCGCACCAACATCTGTCGCTTTGGCAAGGGTACGCGCGGATCAGTCAAGAACTTCCTCAATGGCCTCAAATTTTGCATGGCAAGTGCTTGTCGCACTCGAACCTCAGGCAATTTTGCACCACTTCTCAATATGTATCCACCCAGATGTTTGCAACATGGCACAACCGGGACTTCCAAGCATCCATAGTGTTCCGTGGGCCGTGGGCAGTGCAATTTTGTTGCCCATCTGCTTCTCCATCTTTTGTCTTTCTCGGACAGCTTTCCAACCTCTGTACGCCAGCACAACAGTCGTTTTCCCTTGGCCATAAGACAGTTTCATGGCGTGCTCGGCCATGGTGTCAGTGATGATAGAGAGCAGGAAAGTAACTTTCTTCGTCAAGTCTGTAGCCTTTGCCATGATGGCAAAGGTGAGATCGTCAGTCCAAGCCAAAAAGCTGGCTCACTTGTCCCATGTCAGTCATTGGGGTTCAAATTGATTCCCTCGCTTTGAGCTCCTTCCTTGATGACTCCAAAATGATCTGCGTCAACACCAAAGAGAACAAGATGTCGGCCGCTGGATCACCCGGTCTAGATCCAGTAAGCGGATCCATGATGTGCGTGCCATTCGGTATCACAAACCATGTGTTGCTGAGTGCGGCAGCCACTCCATCTGATATCATCTCCGATCCCGTTGCCTCTTTCACAAGCTGACCACTTCCAACATTTTCCAAAAACTCCTGGTATGCACTTGGAGGCAACTGCAGGCGTTCAAAAATGTGGCATCATGAAACAGCTGTCCCCATCAAACAAAAACAGGCATTGGTTTCACAACAGTGCAAAATGCCGACTTGATGTCAATGAAAACCAGCCCCAGTGAGTCACCCTGCTCTTTGCTGATGTTTGCCAGGGCCTGACCTGTAGGTGAAGGGCTTCTATGCTGAGCCCTTTTCTCCCTCCATACTGCAGCTGGTGTGCTTGACGCTGAAGACCTTCAATCAACTGGGGTCGCCAAGCACGCGACAATGCCCTGGATAGAGTCGGCTCAAGCATAATTAAATTGCTCTGTATCGAATCATTTGGGGGGGCTGGTCTTGCCTTTGTGCAGAGGCAACAGCAAGCCTCCCGTAAGTTCAGGCACATTTTGCCGCCTGAGAGCTGTCTTCAAATGGACGGAGAACACTCTTTGCGTCGCCTGGGCAATGTTGCACTGAAATAGTTCAATGCCCAATCCGTCAACACCAGTGGCCTTTGTATCTTGCAGATTACGTAGCGCGGCCTCCACATCAAGAACCTGCACCAAATCCTCATAATTGACTGTTTTGCAACGTGGCATTGATTTTTGCAAGAGCTTTTGAAATGTAACTGGATCTGCATTCTCAATATCGCTAAATTGCTTCTGCCATGCCATTGCAACATCAGTTCTTGATCGTTGCCAATCACCCTTGGCATCTTGCTGCCCTGGGTGATGCCTTATCAACCGTCCTTTGCTTTTCATGATCACCTGCGTGGGTTTCACAATCCTGCAAAACTCCACACCACGAGCCTTCTGTGCGCCCATGATTTTGCTGTCCATTTGATCTTCAATCTTCAACCCACTTCTTCCATGCCTGCTGCTTTCTCTGCCGCAAACATTTGTCAACTTGATGCCTCGCATCTAGTGTGATGGCATCTTACTGCCACAGGAGATGTCGTGCTTTCTGCCACTCATCCATGATTTCATCTGCTTGCCTTGCAAACTTCCAAATCTTGAAGAAAGCTTTCAGCATGCCACCGTCTATGTCCCGGTGGATTTGGCGGTGATGCTGTCGGAGCCCTTTACGACTGCAAAGTAGTTTCCAGGTGTCTGGGTCAAGGTACAACTGTCTCTGCTTTCTGTTGGGGTTGGGGAACCAAAAAGCAACTTCTTTTTGCAAATGATACCTCAAAGCATGCCAATGCTCATTCATGTCACATCTCCACGCTTGTTGCGGCAAATTGCTCAGCACGTCTCCTAGCCCAGTCTTCTTGTAAGCCCTGGCTTTGTCACGATCATACAAAGCTTTTTTGACACACCCTGGTGGCTGTCCTGCATTGAAGGTGATGTCCATGTCAACCACAACAAGATGATGACCTCTATCACCATTGAGTAGGCCCCAATCATATGCCACAAAGGATCTCACAATTCCGCCTTGACGTTCCTGCCCTACAGCAATGAAGTCAATCCTGCTTCCTTTGCGGAAAATGTGATGGAATCACCTTCGTGATAATCTTTCCATGTGGTAGACACAATCAACTTCCATCTGTCACTCAGTACTCGGACAATGTCCTCACAAGCAGCTGACAAGTCACCCACACCATCATCTGTCACGCTACCTATCTTGGAGTTGAAATCCCCCAAGAACAAGATAACACTGTCCTTGGGGAAAATTTGCACAAATCTCATCCACCTCACTCCACCAACTGGCAATCTCCTCCTCCGGTCTTCCAGCTTGCGGCGCATATCCTACCATGATTTCAACATGAACTCCTGCAAAATGACAACTGGCAACTAGAAGCCTTGGCGCCAATACCCAAACACACACATCTTTGTGTACTTGAACACCACTGCCAAAAATTTTCTGCAATTCTGCTGTGTGGAGCCAAAGTTCCACTCCTGCTTGCCCTTGCTGTCCCGCACCAATGAGACAATCAAATGGCCCATGTGCAACATGTCGAACTTTCCTGGCTCTACCCTCTTGTATGGCAATGATGTGTGCGCCTTCTTGTTGAAATTGTTGAAGCAGTTCGACCGTTTTCCGGCTGACTTGTCCATCAATCGCACCAGCACTCTGCTCCAGGGTGCCTACATTTGCGGTGACAAGCCTCAATCTCTTGGTCCATTGCTTGTTGCCACGTGCACAAAGTTGCTTTTGCAGTGTCAGGTCAATTTTGCCTTTATACTGAGTGGGCTCTGCATTCTGCAACACAGTTTCAAGATTCGGCATCTCTTCATCCCGCTGCACTTGCATCCATGCACAATTTTTCAGTGGGTGTTTCAGAAACTGCAGACAACGTAATCGTGCATGAACCGGAGGTTTCCATCCCTCACAAATGGCACCAGCAATGCTGTCTACCATCCCATTCCATGGATGGCCAACATGTGCTTGAGTCATGCTGCATGAGTGTGAAAGCCTGCAATGTTGGTGCTAGCACGTTGAACCAAAAACATCAAAATGCGTGCGTCTTTCTGTCTTGCCCCTGTCGCTCCAACTCCCTGACAGCCATTGTAGACACCAAAAGCACTCATGCCAACTGATACGAATTCTGACACTGCAATCAACGCTGTTGCCTCTGCGTTCTACGCTATCTGCTCACACGCATCCAAATGATCATTAATCATTCCGCCAGCAAAGCCCAAATGACTGAATCAGGCACCGTCCTTGCTTTCTGCTCTCTCCAATCAACACAAAGCCCCTGCAGCTTTCTTTTTCCGACTAGCACCATCAGAAAAAAAATGCCAGCGCCGCACATCATCTGCAACTCCATCTGTGTACTGAAGAGCAAGCTATGCATCTGGCATGTCGGTTTCCACAATGATCGCGATCGCTTTGGGCCCTACGGCACCAATGGGTTGAGGGTAAACGTTGAACAGCACCAGATTGCCATACGCAGCATGATCATTCCATGCTTGCAAGATACTTTCCAGTAAGGCCGGAATGTTATACGGATCGAATTCGGCACCTCTTCGTCCAAGATCAACAAGGCCCAAGCCAAAAGTAACTGCCGTCCAAGGCAATGGATCTGGTTGCAACGGCGCAGTGGATGCTCCCGAAGAAGCAAGCACAATGCCTGGTTGCAAAGCCGCAGCGGACGCTCCCGGAGAAGCAAGCACACCGCCTGGGATTCCACCTCCTGCTTGAGTGTTCACAGGCTGAGGCTCAACCACTACTCCCAACTCGACGTCACCTGCTCCATCATTTCCATTCAACTGCAAGAGTTCATCAACTGTATCTTGCAAATGACCTTGATGCTGTGGCGCGAAAGCAATTGCAGGCTGTTCTTCCTCAATCTCCTGCTCCATTGCGACAGGGTCCTCAAAACCAATGTTTTCCCATGAATGCACATTGCCAATATACAAGCCATGAAGCCTGCTTTGTCTGCTTCTTGTCCATGATCACCAGACCCTTGATCACCGTCGACCACACGCCCCTGAGGCAAGAGTGGACCCAGCTTAACCCCCTCTCTACCTCACAAAGTGCGTTGGCCATTTCTGCGGGAATCTTCACTGCGCTGGTCTGGTGACATCTGCCTGGGAGGATCCAAGTTAGCCCTCCTGGAGGATCACAACTTTCAACGCAGCCTTCCTATGCGTAAGTATCTTCAAGACTCCATTGGACAGTCATGTCTTCATCCTCACTAAAGCTGTGATCACCTTCTTCATTGCGTTCTTCACTCGGGATATCGGAGGAGGTTTCTGACGATTTACTTGAGTCTCTATCCTCGTCCCTCTCTTCTTCAATTCTTCTGATGGACCCTGTCACCGTTGCAGCATGTGGTGCTTCCAAGACCTCATGTCCTTATTGTAAATCTCCATGCCATCTCGCTGATAACACAAACAACAAACCGTCCATAACCGTCCCATGTCCAAGCCAAGCTTCTGGATGCTGGATGACATCAAAAATTCTTCAATATTCGCCCCAACACTGTAAAGGCCAGCACGAAGTCGCTGCAAAACCGGCAATGTGGTGCCATAGTACAAGGCTGGGCGATAACCTTGAAATTCTCCCTGAATCAAAATCACATGAGCAACATTGCTGGGAAGGCCAGGCGGTTTGGGTTTGACCACATGAAAAGTGACCACACGGCCATCGCCCAAGTCTGACCAAACCTGCAAGCAATCCGCTCCAAAACTGTCCACAGTAGTGTCTGCAGTGATGAGAACCCGTCGGGACCTCAATGATACACGAAATCGCTGCTTCGACACAAACCATGTCTCAATAGTCCTTCTCGTGCCCCGACGCATGTCATGATCTAAAACGGGGTTCAATTCACTTCGCAAAACACCTGCTTCTTCCTGACTGTATCTCATCGTCAATGGCACCCTAGAACTTGCTACCGCAATCTCATGTTGTGAACCAACATCCATCTCCGAAAGCACATGGTTCCGGTTGGGCGCATTACCCACATGTGCAGCCAAAGCTTTTCTGAGAACAGTGTGCTTCTATTCCTGCCAATGAGTTACCTGTCCATGAAGATGCCAAAAACATCGCAAAAGAAGATCTTTGTCGCCTTCCAAAATGCTAAATGACACTTGATTTCCCTCATGATGGCAGTGTACATCGACAACGTTGGAAGAGGTGACATGCTTAACCATCTTAACCTGATTCCGCAAGCTCTTTTCTGGAAAATTGATACAACGTGTTTGTCCTTGTCCTGGCTGGTGCCTCTCATCTGCAGTGCCAAAGGATCCATCTCTGAAAGCCAGGGGCTCCAACTTCAGTCCCGCATGAAGGGCATCTTGATCTGAATGAGCACAATGTGCCCGCTTGTGAACCTCATGTTCACGGACATGTTGACAATCATTGCGACCTACCTTCTCCCAAGTAGGTGTTTGCCCTTGCAGTCGATTTGAAAAGTTTTTCCACGAACGCACAAATTGTAGTAGAGTGCGAACATCATGGAATATTTGATCAGCATATTCATTGGTGCCTCTGTCCATATGGTCCCAATGAATGCATCTAATTTTTCTTCTCTGTCTTTTTTCTCGGCTTTCTGTTTGACGTGTCGGTTGGCAACCTTTGACGGCAATGCTGCTGCTGCTCGAAATTTGGGCATCAGAGATCCTTTTTTGACCTTGCTTTCTGGTGCTGATTCCACATCGATGGGCTCGTCCCCCACCTCTTCCGTCAAGTCTACCATTCCACCAACTTGGCTTGCCTGGGCAACCAGCTCCTGAGCTTGCCTCAACTGGTCTGCCACCGGCATCTCCGGCACTTCTTCGATCTGAGTAGGTTGGGCCAAGAGATTTTGCGATGCCTGACCAACCTGCTTCTTGATCAACTGTAGCTCTGCCATTCGAGCATTGTAAGATATTGTAAGCGTCTAGCCGATCTGATCTGTGCTTTTGGTACATCACTGCATGGGACTGCATCTTCTCCATGATGATAGACTGGACGAATTTCTCCCATCCGGCGTCCACGTCTTGGATTTTCCCAGCTGTAGTGACTTGGGTTCGCAATTTGTGAAATCGATTCAAGTGGCCATGAGACAAAGCTTTTGCAGCTGTAGTCTGCGACTCCTTCAACTGAAGCTTCTCCAACTGCGCTGTCATGCTCTCGGCCAAATCGACTCCCATCTCTTGCAACACACGAAGGTGGTCCAGGAGCTTGATCTCTTCCCGCGTCAAAAATGAAGTCTCGGCTTCGGCAAGGGGCGGCTGAACTGGAGCTACCACAGGCTGAGGAACTGCCAACAGTTCTTTCTCCATTGATCCTTGCATAGCCTCTACTCCCAGGGTAGTTCTACGAGATGGTGTGGTGGTAATCCATGGAACCTTCCCTGGAAAAACCTGCCATTGGCTATCTGTCTCGTCTCCCTTCTTCTCCTTTGCGTATTCGAGATTTGCTTCTGGATTTTCTCTTTGGTGGAGCCCATGCTGCCTCCCAGTGCTTGCTGCACATGCGACAATACTCCAGCCGTTGATTGTTCTGCACTTTGCATTCTTGACAAAACTAGGTCATTGTGAAGAGCTTTCTGGTTACACTTGGTATCCCTTGCCAGCTCCAACTGTGATGGCCTTGCAACTGTGCTATGCAACATCCAAGTGCCCTTTTCCTCCTCTTTCCAACAGGCTTGGCCGAACACCACTTGATGTAGTTCCTGGCTTTGCTCCGTTTCCGCCTCAACGAGCGATGCCAGGTGGGTTCGACCTGCTTTTTCGTCAGCTTTCCCACACCCAGCCCCTTCCAAAAATGCCAAGACAGCGCGCGAGCGAGGATCCACCGCAACATGCACTAACGGTCGAACCCTCTAAGGCACAGCTAAGGAGATGCAGGTGAGGTCCTGCACTCCCAGAGCCAAACCTTTACAGTATATGCATATATTATATATATATATGTGTGTGTGTACTGTATATACATGTATATACTCTATATATCATATCACATGTTTCGTTGTGAACAGATTCCACAACCAAACAATTTCCAGGTGAGGACTCGCTGATGCATGCCGCCTTGCCTCAGAACACAGCGACTGCAGTTTGAGCAGTGGTGTGCTCGTGGCCTCAGGACGAATCAGGGTAGGCGAACAAACAAACCACGGATCACAGCGGGCAACAATGATCCACATTGATCCACAACATTCAACGCAACTTTTCAAGCTCTGCCCCCAAAACAGAAACGGGTCTGAAAGGAAACAGCCTTCACACGAAGGAGACAGCATGAAGTTGTATCTGCATAATATTTGCATAATATCTTAATCTTTGGATCTTCAACGCGCACCTTTTCCCGTCGCCGCCAAGACTTTCTGGAGATCTCGACATCCGGCTATGTGAGGCTCAGGCTCCAAGATGCTTTGCATTTTTTGATGCAGTTTTCAGATTTTTCAGTGACATCATTTCGCATCCGAACTAACAGTTTTCCGAGATGGGTTTATTCCTGGCAACTCTGGGCGAGGCGTTGGACTCAAGTTCCCCTTCTTTCATCTTCTTTCAGTCCAAGTCTCCAAGTCGTTAATGGCAAAATATGGCAAAATGATGGCATATGATGGCCTCAATGTAGCAGTTTCCGGATTTTCAAGCACAAAACCAACAAGCTTCACAGTTCTTGACGCTGCTGGAACTCACTCTTCTCTTTGACAAACTTCTCAGCAGCTTTGAAAGTTCCTTCCGGCAAAGCATTGATAAATCGACGAAAGCGACGCGTCGCATCCGTTGCATCGGCGTTGGTCGCGTCAGGTGGATCAGGTGGACGTGGCAGCTTGCCCCATCTCCACGATGGGTGCACTTTGGAATGAAAGCGCACCACTTCAGCGACCGCAGACCAGGAGCCACTTCGCGGCGTGATGAGACCACTGGCCTCAGTGCAACTCCGTGGTCTTTTCTTAATCGTTAGATTCGTTAGATTCGTTAGATCTTGTTTGTTTTTTGCACCTGTCTGATGACTTTCTGTTCTTTGCAACACTTCAATTTGTTGTGAGTCCAACTATGCGCGCCCATATCAGAGGGCTGCACTTCTAACTTGAGTTTGGCGGTCTTCAGTGCTACACAGTGTACTATTTTATGTCTCTTCCACCGCCGATCTCACGGCAGCAAACTTCGCGATGTGGAGAAGTTAATTAATGCCAATACTGCCAATACATCTCTGCTACAAGGCGTCCCAAAATGTCCCAAGCTTTCTAGATGTCAGCGGGTGACGCGACAGTGTGACTTCCAAGCATGACCAAGCACCAACGCGTATCCTGTATACTTGATACATCTTGATACAGTATCACAAGATCACAAGTGCGGATCTAATCAAAAAAAACTGAATTGAAAGAAAACAATATGAATCCTATCGGTCCTATCTAATCTATCCAAATCTATCCAAATCTTATGTCGAGCATTGTCGAGCATGTCTGGGCCCGGGCTATGGGTGCTGCGGTGTCACGTGACGGTCACGAAATGTCTGCGTCCCATCTGAGGTTCCAGGCCATGGCAAGCGTTGTGCCCAAATTCACTGCCTGGTGCCACCAGCCCGAAGGAATGATCAAAGCGTCGCCTTTCTGCAACTTCGTCTCCCAAAGGACTTTCACCAGTCCTGGAGGCACGGCCTTTTCGAAGAGATCGTTGGTAGATTCATAGCTCACGCACTCCAAAGCCATGTGGCATCTCTTGGTCACCACCTCCAACATCTCATCGTGACCCGGCGGTATCAAGCGAAAATACTTTTCACCGCGGATCACCACGTTGGTGCCTGTCCAATTGTACGAATCCACGTGCAGCTTTGATCGGGAATATCTGCCGCCCCAAAGTAGGGTTGCATTCGGTGGCATGAATTTCAGAGGCATAAGGGCAAATTGATCCTGGTTTTTCAAGAAGGGGGGAAGTGGAGGGCAAGAAGTAATCAAGTGAGGGTGTCTGTGGAGGAAGAATTCATCACGTAGGTAGGACCATGCAGATTGAGAATTCTTGTTCACATTTTTGAGGAAAGTCTTCAGCTTGGTTCCCATGATGCGATCCTCATTCTCCTTGTGGCCCGTGAATACGACACGCTCATCTTTGAAAGGCTTCATGATGTTTTCCTCGATCCAGCCATCCTTCAAGCAAGGCATCTCATCATAGGCTCCTTCCACCACTACCGGAATCTGTCCTTCGAACTCTTTTTGATAAATTTCCAGACTCAACTCGCGACGCCGAGGGACTTCCCGCGGCTTTGAAAACGTTGCCCCAACCTCGATGCCCACGGTGCCCACGGTGCCAATGGTGCCCACGGTGCTACCATCCAAAAAGTGTCGAAAGTTCAGCCAAGGCAATAAAGTGCTGAAGGTGTCGCCCTCGCTTTGTGGGTCGGAGCGACATGTTGTCAAAGTAAGGCCAAAGCCAAAGCTCAAAAATCTCTGCATCCTGAGTGGAAAATCTACCACAACATGGCAACCTTTGCGCCCTTTCTCATGAGCACAGGATGGCCTTCAGAGCTTTTGCCCCAGCTGAAACGGCCGCAAGAGGTTTCTTGCACTCCTGTGCTGTCATGTCTAGCCTTCAAACATGATAAACATGCTCCCTTTTCTACCAAATCGACATTAAGATGTCTAAACAATTTTCAGATCGTTCATTTGCAAGTCTCTGGCGGTTTGTAGCCATTGCAAATCGGACACCACTGAAGTAGATCGTTGACCTCAGCATCACTTCAATGAATACCTAACGGGATGAAAATGATTAAACACATTTGAACACGCATTAAAGAACAAAAGGAGACAAAAGGCAAATGCTACAGTATGATTGTCAAATCTGTCAAAGAAATCCATGCATGACAGCATGCAATACCCAACATACCACTTCTATTCTGCATGCCGCGTGTTGAGGGCTTTGACAGGAATCTCTTCCGTGTCCAATGGCAAGTCTTTGCCCTCGACCTGCCGGAGTACTTCACCAAGCTTTAGTGTGCAGATGTGTGCAGTGAATATCAGTGAATAGGGAATGCGGGAAATGAACCCAGCCGGGTCAAGAGCTCGCGAAGGCTTGTCTTTGCAGCATGGCAAGCTTTCACAGGTCATGACAGGTCTCTCAGACACTCCGGAAACCTCCGAAACGTATCAAGAAGAAGCAGCATCCGCTATGGTAAGCTATTCGATCCTATTGACATGTTTCCTTTGTCTAGGGTTGGGACAGCTATGCGCTATCTTTGTCAGCTAGCTTCGTCAGTCCCACCAGATTCGTCTGACGTTACAATGAAGACAACAAACATGAAGACAACAAACATGTGTGTGTGTGTTTGTGGGAGTCTTGTGCGGCCCTGAAGCTTTGGCCAATATGACTACTATGCAAACTGGACTTGAACAAGCACGTCCATGAAAATCCTAACGACAAAGAAACCAGGAAATGGATGAAAACGGACCAACATGGCAGAAACATGCAAATGATTGCAAATGCAATCATATTGGCTAGATTTGGCTAGCATGGGTCATGAGTCCCTGGGAATTCTCTTAAGTCCTGTCCGGCCGCGTGCAGCGCTCCTATGGCTTTGGTCTCTGTCTGCTTTAATTTGAATATAGGCATGGGAACGTATCTTGATCAAAACTAGGAACGCCTTGCAAACCAGGTGCGTGGCTGCACCTCTATGTTTTCGCCAGCTTCCAAACTTAAAAATATTCTAATTACAGTAATTCCATCTAGTTCCCACTTACGCAGGGACATTCTAAGCAACAAGTGGTGAGAAATTGAGCATGTCGGCTGGCAATCTGAGAAAGGCACCGATTTCAGAAGTCTTGCGAGCTCCTCACTGCTGAGCAGCTATGTGAATTGAAGGCTGCAGGCAGTTTCTCTGAACTTGCCAATATCATTCAATATCTGAGTCCCTCAACACCATCAACAAGGCCTTCGATAAAGTTCCGTTTGGTCATATAATAATGTAATGTCAGTCATATCGTATTGTGCGGTCAGCACAGTGGTAACGGATGTTTTGCAACGCACAAGCGGGGCCCGATTGGGCATATCAGATTCGTGCCTACAGGCTAAATGAGATTCGCACCTGTCAAACATGTTCAGCCAAATCGCACAACAAGGAAGCAAATTTGTCAGCTCCCAAGAAAAAGTTGTTGGCTGAACTCACCTTCGGTTATACCCATGTTCCTTTCGTACACTCAGACGCTCTTTGAGCGTTGTTGCCTCTTCTGTGATTCCGAAGGTTCCTTCTTTCAAAATGCGGTGCAAGGTGTCTACCCTGCCTCTTTTCTTTGTCAGGCAGTCAGCTGGCATTTGCATATGTTCTACCCAGCGTATTTTCCCGCTGAGTTCTTTCAATTCTTCTCTCAACACCTGTACATCAAGCGCATTTCTACGGTCAGTGCCACCCGTGGTTTCATGAATGAGCAAGTCATAGAGCGACTTGGCGTCGACAAGCGCCAAGGCATCTTGCATTTCTTCGGTCTTCTCATACTTTGAAAAAGCAGTGTAGCCAACCCTTCCTATGAACTTGCGCCACTCTCGAAGCTGAAAAGACGGCTCAGTCAATTCCAGATACATCGCTATCATCCACAAAAGGTCTCCAACTCCACGAGCCAAAGATTGTGTCTCCGCCGCTAAAGTGCTTCCTACCGTTCTTTGCAGTTTACCACTGCGCCAGTGAAGAAGATTTGTTGCAGCGCACTTTCCTGCTAGAAGATCTTTGTGAAAAGAAATGAGCATATGACCTGCCTGAGTCTTTCCTCCTCTGGCGTTTGCATAGGAGGCATCTGTGATGACTCCCCACCTCATGTCTTTTTCATCAATTGGCTGGATTCTCAAAGAGAGTTCTGGCTCCTCTTTCAAACGCGCTATTGTATGATTCAACTCTATGATGTCTTCCACCTTCATGTCCACCATTTGTGAGCTGAACAACGACGCCGCTGCGGCCGCGTCAGGTCTTCCCTCTCTTCCCAACCAGTTGAGTGCTCCACATGCACTTCGCACTCTACTTCTTTCTTGCTCATTGATCGGCTCATTCTTTTGTTTCATTCTTTCCTTCTCCAACTCTACCGCTTTGAGTCTCTCTTGAACAAAAGCTTGCATGTCGATCAACACGGTGTCACCTTCCATCCTCAAACGCCTTCCATTGAAATCTACCCCTTCTTGGGTGATCTCCTTAAGCTTCCCAAAGGAAAACCTCTTTTGCAACTCTTCTACTTTCTTTTCATGCACTTCATCTCCAAACATCAACAAATCATCCACCTCTACTGCAATCACTCCGCGGATCTTCCCTTCTTTGTCAAAGTGAATGTACGTGCAAGGATCCAAGCTGCTCTGTGTGTACTTGAGATCCTCTTGGATGAAGGCTGTGAGTGTTTGCCTCCAGTTCAAAGGAGCATCCATCAGTCCATAGCAGCCCAAAATGACTTCCGCAATTTGTTCTTCATGAAGTCCAGGCATACTGCCATGGCATGCGCGGCAATACAAAGGTCCGCCATCACGTACCAGTGGTTTGCTCTGTGTGAATGCTGACTTTAAGTCTCCGACTTTGCCTCGGAAACGCTTGTTAACTGCCATCTGGATGACCACTTGGAGATTTGAGGTTGTAACTGTCGGCGCAAACCTCTCCAGAGACGCTGCATCAGGGTCACAATCTCCTCTGATGCAAAACCTGCTCTTCAAACTTCTTGGTGCACCAGGGCCTTCTCCTGGTTTATATCTTCGCACCATTCTGCTTGGGAGTATCCTGTTTGCCTTTCCTTCGGCTTTCAGGCGAGCCTTCACTGCCCGTGACTCCTCAAGGCTCAGCACCCTCAGTGCTCCACTCCTCACAATCTTCTGGAATTCCTCTCTGTCTTGAACCTCCCATTCAGGCCATTCTTCCGGCTTGATTTCATGGGGAAACACCTCACCTTCTCCTCTCTTCTTCTTTCCTGGCCCACTATCCGCTCTTGTGTGAAGAAGAAAATGCTGATCCACCGGAAATTCGGTGATTCCTTTCCACCAACTTCGCTTTTCTTCTCTTTTGGCGAAGAGTGACCATTCATCCTCCACCTTCTCCTCTTCCCCATTGGCACGCACCATAATTGTGCGTCTTCCCTTTCCCAGAGCTCTCAGTGGGATGGGGCTTCCTTCTGCTTGAATGGGGTTGAAAAAGTTCTTCCTCCACACTACGTGGTGCCTTTGAAGAGTCTTCTTGATTGGGTCATACACCCAATAATCCCTGGTTGGACGTGAGTCCTCTCCTTCCTCTGCTTCTGGCTTTGCTCCTTTTTCTTCATCTTCTCCTTGAAAGAAGACTTCAACCTCGTTCCAATATGGCCGAGTTTGACTCCGTCGCCATCGGCCTTCCAACTTGTCTCTTTTGGCCTCATATTCTTGAGGCGGATGCCCATCCAGCCGGTCGCTTTGCCGTATCGACCTCATAATGGCTTCCATCTCCTCTGTTGTTGGCATCCTTTTTATTTCCGCCTCCTGATCTGGTTCCACCTCCGTTCGACTGGAGATCTGCCTGTCTCCTGCTGCAGCTGCTGCTGTAGGTGTTCCTGCCTGTGTAGGTGATGTTGCTGCTTCATGGGACCCTCTCGCCCCTGTTGCTGATGCTTGGGATCCTCCAGGTGGGCCAACCTGTTGGTCCCCAGCCACTGGTGTTCCAGGGCTGTAATCCTCCTCTGCTGCTGCCGCTCCTGCTTCATCAAAGCGTATGCGAGGTCTTCCTCGAGCATCCCCTTCCGCTCGAACCTCGTCTTCTTCCTCTTCAGCCCCTCTGCGGTCTTGTCTCTCTGGGTCTTCCTCTTCAACTTCTGGCCATGCCTCCTCAGACACATCTCTGTATCCCGCTCTGTGGGAACTTCGTTTGAGTCTCTCTTGCATCTCCTCAAACTCTTCTGAGACCACTTCAATTCCCAGCCGCTCTTCCGTGGTAGCCAACCTCACCTGCTCCACAGCGGCTCTCCAGAGCTCTCCAAACATATTTACCCAGACCACAGATCCTTCTAGGGCTAACACGTGCCCTGGTCCTACCCAACTTGCCTTCTGCTGAAGGGTCCTTCGGACCGTTGCTTGGTGAATCGCCTTCTTCTTCCTCAAGGATCTGAAGACATAGACCACATCTCCTGCTTTAAACGTCCTTTGCACTCTTGGTCTGGCCTTCACCGCTCGAGCTGCTGCTTCGCGGCTTGCTGTCTTCATGAAGGCATCTTGAGCCACTCTCCTCATCTCCATGAGCTTCTCAAAGTCATCCACTCGATGCTGTGCTTGTAGAGTGGGATCGAGCTCTTCATCGCTCATAAGGCTGCTTGGCATCCTCGGCCATTGACCTATTTGCCGTTGTGCCGGACTGTAGCCCGATCTGTTGCTAAACCTGTTCTTTGCAGCTTCACAGGCATAAATCAGGTGGACGAGCTCATGCCTGCTTGTTGGTGGCATTTCTTCACGACTCTTTTCGAGGAGTGTTTTCATTAACCCTCCATGTCGCTCCACCTTACCCTGCTGCCACGGAGCTCGAGCTGCTGCTCGAAACACCAAAGTGCCGGCACTAGCACACATCTGGGCAAATCCTGCTCTGAATTCTCGGCCTTCATCTACCGAGATGTATTGAGGCAAACCAAACGTTCGTGCCCATGTCCTCCACATCGTCCTCCAGATGTGTAAAGGCTCCTTTGACTCCAGCACCTCCACCATCTGATAGTTTGTGCCTAAGTCCAGCATGTTGAGCACCGGAAGTGAACGCTGGTTCAACTCGTCAGGGATGTAGAACACATCCAAACCCATAGCTACTCCTGGAGCGTAGCATTTGGGAACCACAGCAGGTCGTGGAGCTTTTGGCAACTCATGGCTTTTGCAGGTCGGACATGAAAATTCTCTGGCCACCCACTTCACCACCTCTTGCCTGACTCTGCCAGCTTTGAGAAACCTCAAGAAACTTGGCAGAGCTGGATGGCCCAGATTGTTGTGCATCCTCTGAATCTTCATCTTGTCCTCTCTGGACACTGCTGCTTCCTGCTGCTGTTGCTGCTGCGGCTGTTCTGCTGTTTGCTCTTCACCTGCTGGTGCCTCCTCTTCATCTTCATCTTCTTCTTCATCTCTCGGCCCTCTTCTTGACTCGCCGGCTCTCTCGATCTCCTCGTCGAGCTCATCTTCCAATCCCATGGCCAGGACTGTGACTTCCTCTTCTGGCTTGGGCTCCCTCTGAGCCAAGTGCTTCTTCAGGCCTTTAAGGATTGCTCGGCAGAGTCTGACCGGATATTCTGCTGCTGCTGCTGCTAGGCCTCCCATGAGATGTTCATGTGTGTGACTCCCATCGCATCGTCGTTGAAGCTCTTGGGCGATGCTTTCGGAGTTGACTATCATGGTTGTGGGCTTCTTGTTGAGGTCCTTCTTGACCCTCATGCCATATCGGCACATGTCAAAATGACACACATAGACTCCTGGCAATCTCCTCAGCTCCTCCAGCTCTTCCTCCTTCCATGCCTTGGAATTTCTGGGATGTTCGAAAATGAACACTCGTCCTGCTTCATGCTGCTGCTTGCACTTCTTTGCTGCTATTTTGAGGCAATCAACTCCTTCTGCTATGATGTGCTTTACCTTGGCTGCTGGCATCTTCGGGTAGTTGAGTTGCTGCAGGACTGAAAAAGGTCCGCAAGGTGGACAACACAGCAGAAGTTCTGGCCTGTCTTCTGCCAGCTCCTCCTCCATCCTCTTGCGATCCTTCTGACATCGCAGGTTGTAGCCTGTCTTCAAGTCGTAGGCTCCTCCTGGCTTCAGTCCCATCTTAGGAGCTTCTTTGGTCAGCCTTGGCGGGCTGAAAACCTCGCTGACATCCACTGGCCATGCTTCGGCATGTGCCTTCCTCAGCTGCTTCTTCGTCTTCTTTGGCAGAGCTTTCTCTTCAACTTCCTCAACCATATCTTCCATCTTGGACTTCTCTGTCTGTCCAATCTTCACCAGGCACTCTGTCTCGTCTTCCAAGTCCTCCATTTCAACCTCATACATCTCCTCACCTTCTTCAAGACAGATCCTCTGTGCCCAAAAGTGACCTCCTTGGTTGAGCTTTTCCACTCTGCCCTTGAGCTCTCCGACCGGTTCTTTCAGTCGAACCCATGTGCCCTCGTCTTCGAAGCCCTGTCCTCTTCGATCTCCTTCATCACCTTCCCTAGGGCTTGAGCTTCTTCCAGGTTCTCCCACTGCCTCTCGGCATACTCGTACATCTCCGAGTCGTGGTACCCCTGACTTTCCTGGTACTTCATCCCCAGGGCCATCGATGCATACTCCGTCTTCATCAACTCCACAATGCCCAGCTGCTTGTGTTGAAAGTGCAGTTTGGCTTGCATTTGACGCATCTCTGCACTTGCCATCTCCTTGATCTCGGCTTGCTTCATCTCCTCGCGCTGCACTGCCATCTCCAACTCGTTGGCCCGACGCAGGTGACTGCTGTTGACATTCTGCATCCAACTGTTTTGCTGAGCTTGCTCCATCTGCACTTCTTCCTTCATAGAGTTCATCGACTCCACATACTTGGTGTGAAACTCCTGTTCGAGTTTGCCCCTGATGGTATATTCCATCTTGGCCACATCGAACTTCTCCTGTGCTGAACTGGCTGGGCTCGTTGTTGCTGTCACTGCCTTCTTCTTGGCTGCTGCTGTGCTTGTCTTCTTGTAGAGGCTCCATCTCGAGTGACAGTCCTGGCAAATCACCCAACCTCCATGTTGGCTGCCCCCTTGGTTCAGCCTGTTGCCTGGGTGATGGCACTCCTCTGCCGTCTTCACAGGCACGGTCTTCCCACGCAGGCTTGTCAAAAGCTCGGCATGCTTGACGTGCTCTTCGAGCTGCTCTTGCGAAAGCTGGCCACAAACGCTCGGCGCTCCACTCTGAGGAAGCCACGAGTGCACCGATGCTTCCAACCCAACCAGCTGTTCTACCATGTGAGCCTTGTCGAGCACTTGACGCCAGTGCTTCAAAGCCCTCTTCGAATTGTGCGGCTTTTCCCCAATGGCTACGCTCGCAGAGGCCACTTCTGGAGACCGCTGCAGACGCTGACGAAAGCTGGCAAGAAGATCTGCCGCCATGGGGAAAAGAGGCGTTGAAAACAGGCAAATGCGAAAGCATGACACTGCCAGTCTGGTTCGGACCCAAGTTGATGCGGAAGTCGCTCTCTCGATATTCCGCTGCTTTTGTGGCTTCATGAGGAAAAACAAAACCTTCTTGACCAAAATCGGTGACTTCAATTGCGACATGTCCACTTGGCAAAGTGTTCAACTCAACTGATCTCTGCAAGGTGTGAAAACGGACTGACATCTCATTCAAATCAACAACTGCTCGCAAACTTCTCAACATCTTCACTGGCAGCAAAAGTGGAACTTCGCCAGTGACAACTGTGGCTTCTAAAATTCCGGTCTTTCCGGCCACTCCTAATGGAATCGCCACAATTCCTAAAACTGTTGCTTGACCTCCAACTCCATGTGCCTTTGCTTGCCTACCTGTCCAAACAACTGTCAAACCGCATTGTGCAAGCCTCTCTTTTAGCCTCTCCAGCGCCGCTGCGCCGTTGAGCCCATCCTGGGCTGCAGTGTCTACCACTGCCATGGTTGGACTTGTCGTAAGCCCGGTGAACTGAGCATAGCTTGCTGTCTCTGATTCCAAGCAGGCTGGTGGCTCAAAAACGTCTAACCTATCCCCATTACTAAAACTACAACTCACATGAGTCTCAGCTGAGGATTCCTGAGACGTGGAAACAAAAACATTTGTGCATTGAGATTTCTCAATGTTCCCAAATTCATGTTTATCCCCACATGAAAAACAAAACCCACATTGAAGCAGTTCCAAGGGACAGACACTGCCAGCAGAAACATACCAACTCTGCTGCCCCGTGGACTGACTGCCGGTCTTTCCACCAGAACTTGCCGAAGAGCTCCCCTGTGACCTGTGAGACTGCACCGCCGAAAATTGTCGGCCGCGAGCATCGGGTGGGTTTCCACACTCAGCCGCCCAATGACCTACGAGCCCACATTTGCCACAGCGCGTGCGAAGCTTCAGCTCCTCCACGGTGATCTTCTTTCTCTGCCTGGTGAAAGCTGCTTTCCCAAACGAGCCCCGTTTCCCGCTACCATAGTACTGACGTGCCTTCTGCTTTGCATTCAAAGCCTTCCGCACTTCTTGGTAAGTGGCTAAGGCTAACTGTGCCTCTGCTTCATCATAGATCTTGTTCGGGTCATCTTCTTCCATGTAGATGGCATTTTCAACATCTGAGTCCTCGTATCCCTCCTGGGAAGTTGGGAAAAAGTCATCTCCCGAGTCTCCAGCGCCATCATCTTCTTGCAGAAACGCAGTGCTAGACTTGCCCTTGCTGTCCATCACCACCTTGTCAAGCTTTCGAAGACATGAGACAACGGTCTTCTGATCGTAGTTCCCTCGGCTCCAAGCTCCAAATCTGAGCTCCTGGTTCTCAGTCAGTGCAGCCTGTCTGTAGATCACATAGCCAATCGCCGTGTCAGGCAAAGTGACGCCTTCTTTCTGCAGCATATGAAAAGCACGCTCACATCGGATGATGTATTCCTGAATTGACCCCTTCGAAGTCCTAGGTGAGCCGTAAATGGCCCTCTCAAACGCCCTAGGAAGACTCACTTCAAGGTGTGGCGCAAAGTGGTCCTTCAAGGCTTTCAGCAAATTCTCAGCTCCTTTGGCGCATGCTATTTCATCAAACTCCAGTGTGTCAGCGACTGACCTAGCGACGCCGCTAAGGTTTCTCAAAAGTCTCACGCCTCTTTTGACCGGGTCTAACTCTGACTCAAACTCCCAAAGCTTGACATTCTTCTCATACATCACTAGTTCATTTGACGGGTCATTTCCATCCCACGAAGGTGGCGGTGGTTCTCTACCACCAAAGTGCGGGGCATCCCCTGGAGCACTCATGGCTCCGCTACCACTGTGCGGTCAGCACAGTGGTAACGGATGTTTTGCAACGCACAAGCGGGGCCCGATTGGGCATATCAGATTCGTGCCTAAAGGCTAAATGAGATTCGCACCTGTCAAACATGTTCAGCCAAATCGCACAACAAGGAAGCAAATTTGTCACGTATATATTTAGAAATTCATTCATATATATCGATCCAAGCACACGCCAAAATATGCTAAAACCATCCAAAACCCAACTCAAACCTTTGTCCTCTCATGGGTTCATGTTTCATTATCATTCATGTTTCCACATTCACAAACACAAATGCCCCCTTTCAGCTCGAGGTCGAACTCTACGCAAAACATGGCTTTGGATGGTGAAACTAAGCGCACATGACGGATCTTTGCCGTGTGTACCTCCGGAAGGTGTGGAAGGAGCAGCTTCAAATGTTCCAAAACTTCGGACCGTGATGAGGCGAAGGTGTAGCAGTATACGCTCAGATTGCCCTCGCTGCGCGCCATGCTTGATGAAATTGTTATGTTACCCATGCCATTCATGTCACACTTCATGTTACGCACGTCGTCCGCTTCATTGGATTCCTGCACGTTCCTGACTTTCTTTGCATTCTTCATTTCGTTTGCTTCATCTCTCGCCCGATTTTCTCTATGTATTTCCGCCTCTTGGATCTTCCCACTCTGCACGTGCGGTGGAATTGCTCGATGGACTTCGTCGCAAAGGATATCGAGTGCCAGCTCCGGCAAATTGAAAACCACGTGGATCTTTGATGGCTTTGATGACCTTGATGACTTTGATGACTTTGATGTGTCACACAAAAGGAGCCCCAAGGAATCTAGCATGTCTAGCTCTCCATGAAAAGCACAGTGCAGCAGGTCCCGGGCATTCATGCACAAAGTTGTCACATTCAATTTGTTCCTCAGAGACTCAACATGCAGTGCTGCAAACACCCACCAACATCACCAACACATACCAATACAGTGAGTCACATGCAACAGCCTCGCGTGAACATATTGAAAATATACCCAAAAAGATAATGAACCGATCACCCGAGTCAATTCTGCATTACGCTGAGCGAAGAGCACTGCATCTGGGTTCAGATCATTTGCAATTACGAGGCAGCCCTTCCTGGCAGCGGAGTGCACAAGAACCAGTCAGCAAGTCTAGTTCCAAAACAATCCAAAGCATGCGTGGTGTATCAAGGATATCAAGGCATTCTTAACGGTAGCGTTGGAGTTGACATGAGTTGACAAAGAGCAAGTGGAAGCTGGAGCGCATTGGGAGCTTGGGCAGATCCGCATAGCATCCAGTAGGCTGGCATACTGAAGGGCACCAAGAATTAACAAACTCTGGTCCTAGAAACTGAAAAAAAGAGGCAAAAAAGTGAGCTTCCTCATGTTTTCTCTGGAAATATTCTCTACGCACCCTTTTCTTCGATGTTTAATCCTATCGATATGGTGTATCTCGCGCCAAACAGTAACTGTTCTTGACATTTCTTGACAACTGGTATGGCAAGACATGGCAAGATCGAGCCTGGCACAAAGCAGTGCAAATGCGCCAACACCGCAGCAAAGGTCCAGCACAACTTCGCCAGGTCCACACTTGGCTGCAACTCGGCCGCGTTCAGCGGACATGCGCGAGTTCCAGTAGACCTGCATTGAGGCACATGCAAACATCAAGAACACCTTCACCATATTTCTTTACAAGAAACACGTATCACTTATACTACTTTAATATCTTACAATATCTTACAATGATAGTTTTTAATGTTTTATTTATGCTCATATAACGTAAAATAAACAGGGGGTTGCGAAGAACGCGGCGCTCTTTCAACCGCAGCTCTGCTTTCCCAGCACATGCTGTAGCAAAATCCCCTTGTCAATTTCGGGATCTGATCGCAGTTTGGTTGACTTGCGAGGTCTTGATGAATCACCATGCCGCTGAAATATGATGGCTCTCCTGACTCTTGTGGCATGGTCTGGCCTTCTGGAAGTCAAACTGCAGCTGCAGTCCGTGTTCTTTCAGGGTGACCTGCGTCAAAGGTTGCCCTGCAATCACCTCCATGTCAAATGTGCGAAACTTGTTTGAGACGGCCCCGAGCTTTGCCACAACCGTTTTGATACATGGGCATTTGTCCAAGCAAACTTCCCCGATGAGGAACCGATGCGGCCAATGCTGATCCAGTAAATTGAAGTGGGCGATGTGACCGACAATCTCGTATCCAGAGGGCACTGTGATTGTGGAAGGGAGCAAACGGCTCAAGACCTCCTTGTAGCTGTAGTTATGGTAGTTCAAGACTAATGTGTATCTAGTGAAGGATCCTTGAAATGCAGCTATGAGATTCTGCATTTCCTCTGGGAGGTCAGCTGGTGATACTTCATGTGCTAAAAGCAGCAAAGAGTGAGCACCAAGTGTCTCTGAGACGACGTTGAAAATCCCTTGCTCTTTCCGTTGTTTCAAAATAAAATCGGCCCAGTTCTGCCGCATCGGCCCTTTTCGAATGCCTCCAGTTTCAGTTCCAGCTCTTCCTGAATCTGACTTGGACAAGGCTTGCCGCAGCCGATATGCGCCGTTGTGTGGCATCCGCACAGCCCAGAGCTCCTCTTGAAGGAAGAATGCGGATGAGTTGAATTGAATATGACTGACATTGGTTGAACTAATGAGCTAATATATATACGAGTAGGAAAGAAACATGTAAAGTTTGAAACTTGCTGCTGCGCGCTGCCAGTCAGATACTCTACAATCATGATTTCTCGTAGCGTTTTGACTCTACTAACATCTACTAACGTCATCCTACGTTGACATCCCAGCACAAGTAGATGCAAGTAGTAAATTCACGATGATTCTCAATTGAAGCAACATGGACTTTGATGGAATCTAGATGAATCATGATGAATCATGATGAATCTAGTCTGAAAACGTTCAAAGACTTTTCAAGGAGTCCAAGGAGTCGGTCCCTCAGGTCCTGGACATCGTTAAAAAGTTCCCGGTGAATCCGATCTCCGCTTTTAGTCGATACGGACAGGACACGGCGGTGCACAGTGCGTGCTTTGCGCCGTCGGTGTCTTGTGAGACCAAGGGTTACTGCTGCCATGGCGCCCTGAATGCGAGGCATATTTCCTCCTGAACAGATTTTGGACTGAGCATAGCCGAACAAATCATTTAAGCAAAATAATTAATGCATATTAATGCAAGTAAACCAGTAAAACATAGTAAAACCTCACCATTCCATAACCAAAAGCTATGTGCTTTGCTATGTGCTCTGGCTGCTATGGTGTTGTGCTCCTATGGCACAATGCCCACTAACTTCGTGATCGACACCGAAGGCGGTGCGGTTCAAACCTTAGATAATTGACGTCTGAGGATCATCGAGCGATCTTCGGCGAAATGAAGAACAAATCATGAATAATACATAAAATATCATAAAATCATTAGATATACGGTCATTGTTACAATAATGCAATTTATAAAAATCAAAGCGAGGACACGGCGAGTCTTACGAGACAAAGTTCGCTTGCCCTCCAAGACTAGCCTTCATCATCCTTCATCGCTTCATCGCTGATCGTAGCACATCGCAGCACATCGTAGCTATCTTAGCGCTCTATTCCCTCTAATTATTCCTGATATGTGTGCCTCTGAGGTCCTTGATCATCCTTGATCTCTTGATGCCCGATTCATGCGTGTGCATATCCTGTCGCTGTGGTAGAGCATACCAATGTGTCCATACTTAACTTCAACAACAATTGCTTTATATATCATATCTTAATACTATTGTATACTATAGACATCTATAGACTATAGATTGGTATCTTAGATGTATATTATTGCACGGCGAATCTCCTGCACATGCACGGTCACTTCGCCCCTATCGTACAAGACTCCAAGACATTGCAAGCACCCCATAGAACTGGAGGACAAAAAGAACACTCTAAGGACCCTGTGCAAAGTTGCGCTGAGTTAACTTAAGCCGTTCGGTATCGTTCGGTTGTACCAAGAACATAATGGAAATTGGCTGGAGAAACCTTAGCAGCAGCCTTTTGATATTGACAGCAACCATTTTGATTTTTGACCCAAGAAACTCGGCTGCAAGAAGTGCAAACCACGTGCCATGACTGATATGACTGCACATCCCCTTTGGAGCTCGCACGCATTGAAAGAAGCAACTTTGGCCATCTGATGCCATCTGCTTTGAGCCAGCGGAGCTGTGGAGCGTGCTCTGATTCCAAAACTCAACTTCTCAACATTCTCAACTCGCTATATCCAGCCACATAGAGCCGCACATTGCTGCCCTTGGAATGTTCAATGTTCTGAATCTATCTGAATCTATTATGTTGTGCTCCTCCTCTGTAGGTTTCCAACCCAAAGGAACGAATCCTCGCAGACTTGCAGAATCTACAGTTCCAAATTCTACAACGACACTACAGACAAGGACACCAAACACAATACATAAAATCTCATAAAATGTCCGCAAAAAGTGAGAGAGGTGTGGTGAGTCCTGGGCCACGCAGCACTGCTGTGAGGTAGCTGGTCTGGGCGCATGGCGCACAACTTGAGCATCTCACAGGATCTCTGAAATCAAGACAGTCAGAAGCATCACTTGAAACAACTTGACATCCTCGAATTCAACGCTGCATCGATCCGCACAGTCTGCAAGCAGCCGTGTTAATCTTATTCAAATTTATTCCCTGTATTGACCTTTGAACCTCCTGTGCATCCACAAGCCACCCAGCAGAGACAAAAGAAGCAAAAGATGTCAGGAGTTCGAAGATGTTAGTTAGGAGCAGCCGGGAGCGGCTAGGAGGCTGGGTGACTGGCCACCAAACAAATCACTTCCAAACCTCGGACAGCACCAAGGGGGATCAAGAAGGCTTGACATATCTTGACATGGCATGTTACGGCATGACTTATGATCGAAGGAAGTTTAGAAGTCAAACTTCCGACAATATGGACAGATGAAGCCGTTGCCAACATCAAAAGTTGAGGAAGTCTCGCAGAATTGCTCCGTTGTCGATGTCGTCAACTTTGCATTTTTGATATTTTTGAGGACGTCTCGCAGACTTTCTTCATTTTGGAGCTGTGAACTTGGAGTTTTTGAGGAAGTCTCGCAGTATTATTCGTTTTAAAGGATACAGTACTTTTGAAGGAAGCCTAGCAGAATTATATAACAGATAGATAGATAGATAGACAGATCAGAGAGACAGACAGCCGGGGGGGAGAGGGAGAGAGAGAGAGAGAGAGCGAGCGAGAGCGAGAGCGAGAGCGAGAGCGAGAAAGAAAAAAGCCAGAGACACAGAGATTGGGAGAGATTCACAGAGAGACAAATAAAATGGAGAGAGAGAGCTAGATAGTGCCAGATAGACAGATGGACAAATAGAAAGATAGAAAGATAGAAAGATGGATAGATAGCCTAGCGGTAGACGGCTCATTTTGGAACACGAAAGCCGGATCATTTCTGAACATATAGACAAACAAAAACTCCCTTTGAACATCCAATATGCACGGAGTTTTTCATTTTCTTTATTGTGCACTCGTGGCCCCTCCAAGTATACTGACGCTCTATCCGAAGATTAAACAACAACCATAAACCACACAAGTTGCAAACCAAGTAACACGTACGACGTAAGACATTTTCTCAAAAACAAAGCTCAACTAAAACTACCAAACCATCAGGGTTCAGAGAAGGGGGGAGGAGTTGTGCAGATGGTTTTGGTAGATACAAAGCGGAATGCATAGGGTGCACAACTACAAAATGCAGTGCATGTTGCTTTTTTTGCAGCTACAAAATGAAAAACATAATTCTTTCTGGCTCGGAAAATAATTCAAACCCACTACAAAATCCAATGCATCTGAAGTTAAAAAATAACTGAACGTCGGAATTGCTAACATGATTTTTCCCAATGACATTTTGTAGTTCGGTCTTTGCCATCCAAAGTTCCGACCAACATAAATTCGGAGAACATTTTGTAGTTGTCAATGATTGAATTTAGTTGGATCAAGTGTTGACCCCGTGCAGTTTGTTAGATGGCATTCTGTAGTTTCATGATCTGTTTGTGTCCATGTACATGTCACGCACTGTTTCCTTTTTTCCACCTCTCTCACCTCTTCAAATGCAAAATGCAAATGAGATTTTATGTTGGATGCTTCAACTATTCAACTTGTACAACGACAAAATGCTAATGAGATTTTATGTTGGATGCTTCAACTAACTCAACATATACAACTACAAAATGAAAATGATGATTTGAAAGGAATCAGCTACAAAATGATTCCAAATACAAAATGGGGGGCACAACCCCTCCTGTTTGTACAAAAAGATCCTGGCTGGCAATCTGTACTGTAGCCCAAGTCCTCCCCATTTCGTAGCTGAAATTTGAAGGTGGATACCAAACCTATAATATACCACGAAAGCAGTCAACCAGAAAATGACCGAAAGGAAAGGAAAACCCGGCAACCAATCAACCGCACGCAAAAAAAACAGAAACTAGAAACCAAAACAGACAATAACTCAAAAACCACAAGAAAAACAAACAAACAAACAAACAAGAAGAAAACCACCAAACCAGAGTATCTAGAAACCAAACACCTAGGGAACACCAAAAAAAACAATTTCGAAAACTTCAACAAAACGGAAACCAAGATTGACACTGCGAAATCAGAAAGCAGGAAAACAGGAAACTACGACACCCGGAAACTAGAACCTCAGGAAACCAGGAGACGAGGAAACCAGGAAACCAGGAGACGAAATAACCAGGAAATGACATAACCAAGAAATAAACCTAGAGGGAACGAACTAAGAGATCAACAAAAAACTAGGAAACCAGAAAACCAGCAAACCAGGAAACCCCAAGGAAACCAGGAGACCAGGAAATCGGGAAACCAGATAATCAGGAAATAATAAAACCTTCAGGAAAAAATAGAGAGACTAGACGGAATCGGTCACCCACTAGCAGAATCAGACCACTGAGTCAATCACCCCCCCAACGTCGGAGTCAGTCACCCCCCACAGCCCCACGAGGGGCGAGGGGTGACTGCCATCCGGCGTGCCCAGTGGCCCATTTTGGTCTCTCGGGTTTACTTATTGTTGGTTTGGGATTTATTTAGGCTTGGCCTAAGAGTTTCTTAAGGATTGGTTTAATAAGGTTAAGTTAGGGTTACGCACAGGGTTTGTGCGAGGGTTAGTGTAGGGTTTAGTTGTGGTTGGTTTAGGGTATATTCAGGCTTGGATTTGTTTTATTTAGGGTTGGTTTAGGGCTAATGTAGGGTTTCATCAAGTTGAATGTAGCAATCCAGAATCTTCCTCATTTTCGAGTTACCTCAAAACATGTACTGTAGCTGGCTCAATTTCAGAAGGGGTCATGTGTTTGACTTTAATGTTGTGCCGCTGTCTAAGCAGATTTGGCCCAAAACGTGGCTCCTAAATTTCTGGGCTGCAACAGGGGTACCAGCTCTATTAAACGAATCATGTGGGACTGAACCTGGCAATTGAACACATTGGGAAAAATTTGCGGGCTCGCTCAAGTGGAACGAGCTACCTCAGCAACACCGCGCTAGCTCAAACACATCGCTCTCGCTCGATGGCATCGAGCTGGCTCAATTTTTTTGACCGAAAAAAAACGGAAAAAAAAAAAACAAAAAAATTGAGCGAGCTACGTCACGTTGAGCTGGCAAACGAATGTGAAAGCTAAAAACGAATACATTATATGTATTGGCCGGGATGATGACGGCATACCGAGCTGGCTCAAGGGCATGTAGCTGGCTCAATTTTTTTGCGTTGCTTTTTTTTTCGTTCAACAAAAATTGAGCCAGCTACGAGGCGCTGAGCCAGCAACAAGACATTGAGCCAGCTACGTGGCACTGAGCCAGCAACGAGGGAATGGTGAATCTGTACCGTACGGGACCGATGGATTTTCCGATGCAGCCTTTGCAGTTCCAACAAATCAAATTATTGATTAATTTTGGCACCATCTGAAATAAAAGACTGGCAGTCTATACATATCATATGTATAATATCGTATAATTATGGTCAATCTGAGGCAACACCAGTTTTCTTGATGGAGACGCGTACCCTTGAGCTGGAGGGAGGTTGGGAAAAGTAACTTTCGATCAAGATTTGTT